TAACTAAATCAAAGACCAAATTTTCTTAATTCTTTACACTAATTAAAGGTATAAAGCTATCCGCGAAGAGGAACTTTCCCAACAGACATCCTTTGTTAATTGCCTAAACTTTCTGTTAATATCAGAGTTTTCATTAAATGTTAAGCATATTTTCGAACGAAGAGGAAGGATCATTTGTCCGCTGGTAACAGAAAAATCTGATGTGTTTTGATATTTTTCGACAAAGATATCGCGTAAATTATATAAAGTTGTTCTTAATTAAACTTTTATTTTAATTAACTAAAAGATGGAAAGCCAGTCGTTTGGGTCTCTTTGTAATATATTTTTTACTTTTTAGCCCATTGCAGTTCGCATTCTATTTCAAAAGTTTCAATACCTATATCAAGGGGAACTATTAAAATGAAAATTCCGACATTCTGCCGTCTAGAAAAATTGACCGTATTATATGACATTATCATCGGAACTTAAAGTATGTGCAAAAATTCAACATGATCGGATGAAGAGAAGTGTCCGAAATATCATTGGGGAGTTCCTAGGCCGATACAAAAGCCATTTAAATTAAAACCTGTGGAATAATTCTTTTCAAATCAAGATCGAATTAATTGTTTTTTTCAAGGCACTGCCTTCGGAGAGCTAATGCTCATTGATTAAATTACATTTTAGATCAGATTACTCTCACGAAGTACATGGACAATATTTAACAAGTAAGAAAATTAGATTAAGCTTGGTTGAGTCTCTTAGACCACCATCCTTATTAGGATAAGGAAAAAAATCATTCTTTTGTACTTTGTAGTATTGGGTGGGTGTGACGGATTTTACCCAGAGTTGCAGAATACACTTGCAGCTTTCTGTCGTGTGTCTGTTGTATATTATTATAGGCACTGAACAAAAAACTTAGAAAGCAGAGGTGTTCTCAATGGATTTTGTGCTGTAGGCGCTTCGCCCATCTTCATTACCAACCTATCTGCTAGAACTTCCAATGTTTCTGGCAAATTGGAAGGCGATAGCTTCCTTTTTGCGGTCCAGAGTGTCTTTGAAACAGCCACTGCACAGGCGGACAGACCGACATGCTTAAATCAATTCAGCTATTGATGCTGCTCAAGAATATGTACACTTTGGGGGGCCTCTGGCGCTTCCTTCTGATTTTGACAAAAGTTTTGACCAAACGACCCAATCCTTCGGCGCTGTGTACACCAAAATTAAATAAATTAATTAATTAATTAATTCATAGTCTAGGCCTTTTGTTGAAGAAGTGCTGATTTCTCATAGGTGTGAATATTTCCAATGCATTTACATTATGTCTGCATAAACATGTGTATTCTAGTAAAGACTTCGACCTGAAGTAAAGTCCGTTAGTAAACGTATACTAACCTCTCATACGGCGTTTGTAACTTTTTTACAGCTGCCTATGAATCGGTTCATGATGAAGACTTTTGCACTTAATCTTTAACAGAATGCTATAACCGCTAATTCCGCATTTCGGACTACATTTGTGATTCCTTGTCTCTTCTTTAGTTGTTTTAGTGTCCTTAACTTTCATAGATGCGGATGTCAATGAATGAATGAATCAGATAGATAAGTAATAATTAACCGGCGGACCTTATAGTTCAAATTTCTCTCTGGGCAATAAAAAGTTTATGGTAAAAAGTGAGGTTAAGTATCGCTAGTTGTTAAGTAGTGCGTTAAGTAGTGATCATATAGTGAATGTTTACTATTTTATGAGAATACATTACGATTTTAATGCTTCCGATTTAAAGTTGCTGAACGTTAACTTGGATCTCAGTTTTAGTTCTATCGACCCTTTATCCATAGGTTCTTATATTTCTGCAGCAGCTTTTCATTTCTTTAGGTTTTGCTAGGCTTTGAGTTTTTCAATAATTATATGGAACGTTTCATCTTGTCAGAGCTGCACACAGATTTTACAAAAACAAAATTTTTCCGGGATTTTTCATATAAAAAAAATAAATGCAAACTGTCAGTCACAATTCATTTTTTATCCTCGTTAAGAACGTACTAATTGTTGAAAGTTTTCCACAACTAGGTTTAGTAATATTTAATAATAAAATCAAAGCAATATTTTTCAGGAGAAACACGATATTTCTTTTACATTTACATTACAAGCAATAGAATATAATAGAACTTCGGACACATTTTCAGTACATTTATTCAATTTTAAAAAATATCGACTACAACTTCTAACCAATAAAAAAAAACACCTTCTAATTTACAAAGTAACACGAAGTTTCCCTCAAATATTAACGACTATTGCGTTAGCCTTGTAAACAAAGCTAACATTGGCTACTCCTAATTTTTTGACACCAATTTAAGTCCACGGAAATAGAATTTTAATTTGTTTGTCTGCGAAAAGTAAAACCTCTTTAAGAGAGAAGAAGAAGAAAAACGAATGTACCACGTGTACCATATTAAGTACACAATAATCATTTAATGTTTTACTTTGAAATATTAGAATCTAGAAAAATTTGTATGATTAATTAATGTATATGGTGTGTACTGTTAACGGTACACGAAGAATATACGTTTTCTCTCCTAAACGCAAAATAAGGATTTAAGTGATATTATTAAATTGGGAATTATTCCGCGATTTTCTTCTTGCTTTCATACTTGACTAATTCTCATTCAGGAAGTACATGGAATGAGTTCATACGAACGTGTTCGATTTTCCGCTTAATTATTTGCTGTTGATATTATTTACTATGGATACGGAGTTTGTTCGAAATTTTAACTCAATCGTAAACTGTTGTTTATTAAAAAGAATAAATAAAAAGAATAAATTGGCATAAGAAGCTTCTGAAGATTCTGTTGACAACTTCTTTCCTTCCTCGACGTCGAATACTAACTTTAAAAAATCTTAGCACAACATCATTTTCAAAGATATATAATATTAAGATCATTCTGGGTTGGGTCTGCATATTATGACATCATGACATGTCACTTTAACTAAGATGCCGAAGTGTGAGGAAAACACTTGACACTAAATAGCTTTTCAATTATGGTTTATCGTATTGCAACCGAACAAAAACCAATAAAATATATTCTTGAAAGCAAACTACGTTAATTACAAAAGTTACTATAAATATATGCTTTACGTTTGACTGGCTACTTGGGAGATATATTTCCGCAAGTGCCGTGTTATCGTCTGGAAAGATTTTAGAAAGTTCTACATGGAGAAGTGCAGGCGGGATTGATGTTGAGTTCAAGAGACTTATTCTAACACTAAAGGTTTTCGTAACTTAACGTAACCTTTTCTACCTCGGTCTACTAAATTGAAAAGTTTGATCTGTAGTAATTATCAGTATTGAAAAATTCTATCGAAACGTATCTATGCAGGAAATTAAGAGAAGACAAAACTAATATACCATCTTCCCGGTAGTGTTGCTATTACCTGACCTTTAGGGAGAATTTAATAGTCAAATGTTCCCCTCAAGTCATATTAAATAACCATCATGTTAATCGCAGGCGAAACATTTGAAACAGCAAAAAAAAAAAAATCATTTAGTCAAAAACAGAAGGTAACACTCTAAAGCGCACAAATAACATATAATGTAACATCATAGCAAAAAAAAAAAAAAAAAAAAACGAAGAGAATTAATAAACAAATCCAATTAAAACAGTGCGTACACTTGAGAGCAATTGCTTACACCAATAACACGATTGCACCTGACTACAATTGGTCGCAAAAACGAAAAACCACTTGTTGTTATCTAAAGTGCGGATATCATTGTAAGCGATGTCTATAGTAGTGTGCGCTAAAGAGCGGAAAGAGAAAGACGTGCACTTGCTTGTGTGACAATGACATTTAAAATGAGAATTTTCTTATTTAGCATATTTAAGAAGAATTTTACATATTTAATAGCTATTATGAAAATATATAAAAAATACTAATATATATAATAAAATAACAATGATAATATTAATTTGTCGGAAAGTTATGTGCCGAAGAGATTTAATACCCGGAATTCAATCTAATCAAATATAATTCCATAGTTATTTTCAACCTATTAACAGTAAATTTACTTCAAAATGTATATAAAAAAAAAATTTCTTTTTTTTTTGTTTTTCTGATATCCCACAGGAATTTTCTGATTGTAATATTTCAACCGCTAAATAACACACATATTATACAAACATTAATATCAACAATAAAGTAATAATAATACTCGCATAAAATAATATCCCTTTAGAAGACATCAATCCTCTTCGCAACCACCAAAAATAATACCTGTAAGCATACGCCGCTGGAACAGACACACACGACATCACCAGACATCAAATAATAAACATCAACGTTGCGTAGTCAACGTTCGTTTTTTTTATTTTTTATTTTACTTGTTCGTTACTTCACAACATACCGCCATCAGCATCCATTTAAAGCAGTGATAACACCAAAGACCCAAACTTTACCCAAAGGTAAGTTAAGCAAGCAATATGCTCGAGTATGTTGTGTCGGTAAATATGTATATATATATTTATAACCTACATATATTATGTATATAAGTTTGTAAATATTAATAGTCTGCTAAAAATATTGAATAAACGCTTTTAACGAACACACTCATGCATAATACATGAGCAAGAACGTGATGAAAGTGAAAATTCTTAATACAAAAAAAAAAAAAAAATATGAATATGGTAGATATTTATGCAACAGATGGTCGATCATGTGACTAACAAGAAAATAATAAATGCCTCTCATAGCAATTGAATAGAACTTAGAAACCAAACTAAGAAGGCCAGCAATTATGTCCAGTGAGTTAAAGAAAAATATCTCACCAAATGTAACTTATTCCTCTTGCCCACGGAATTGCACCTCTTACAATATAAATGTTTGTAGGACAGAACCCTATTTAAAACTATTTTTTTACATTTCAATATCATAAGTAATTAAAACATTAACAAAATGATCGGCAATAAAAAATATTTACTTGCCCACCTAAAAGTAGGCATTTGCTATAATCGCGCCTAAAGCTATATAAAAATATTTCTAAAGCAGACAACTTAATAATATTTTGCAATTTGTCAAAAATTAATATTGAAATTTAGAATTCGAGAATTTATATAGAATAAAATTAAAATGAATTCATCCAATAAGGCGCCACAAACTAAATATCCCCTATTGTTAACCGTTTATATGGAGACATTTTCTCGACATACTTCAGCGAATTTAAATTTTATCTACTAAACGGGTACGTCACCATTAATTTTTCAATAACTTTTCTATTGGCTTAATAGATGCCTTGAACCTTCTACAATATTGCGAAAAAAAATTATTACTTTTCAATTTCGAGATTTTGCTCAAGCTCTCCGGAAAGACTTGACCCTAATGTCTTTTATATCTTGATTTCTGGATACCTTTAGAAAATGCTTATTAAACGGTTTTGCAAAAAAAAGGTGAAACCAGACGGAGACGATCGCTGAGTAAATATGAGGCTGCAAGCGATTCGAAAACAAAGTCAAAGATCAAAGTTCCTGATCTTAAACTCATGAAAACAGCTGTAAAATTATAAATATTTCTTCCGGATCTGTCTCTCATTTCGCAACACATAAAATGGACAAAACTTAACAGATGCAGCGAAAGCGTCTAGCATAACACGTTCGAAGAAAGGGATCTGCATAAGAAAGACTTTGAAGAGCAATGACAACAATTAAGACAAAATTTATTATAATAAAAAAACATATCTATCTATAACTGGTTTCAAAACTTTGAACCCGTTCTCCTCGACAAATGCTTTTCAAAACGACAAGCGGTGTTACTGTAACAACTTTATATATCTTTAAAATAAAATTTTTAAAAGAGGGGATGTGTAAATTGTTTCCTTAACAAAAGGTTGTTTAGAAAATCGGACTTTTTCATCCAAATACTGGCAAATCACATTAGATTCAATATATTTTGAACAACGCATCTTCCAAGCTGTACACAGTTGAATTAAATATTTTTTTGGTTTCTTTTTTGGAAGTCAAATTTAAAGCAGTCCAAGTATTTATCGCAGTGCACAACCCCTTAAATTAAAGAAACTTTGCGAAAATGTCTAAGATCGAGTGCAAAGGATCGACTGCATGTTCATCTTGTCAAGACGTTTTCAAGACGCAGAAGGAAGCTTCAGAGACTGCACAAAATATACACATCATCAAATTTTCAATCGATTTAAATATGTGTGTCTGTCCGTCTCTCTGTCTATGTAATATCTGTTGCAAACAATCTTCTGGCCGCACAAATGAACCTATCTAGTTTCAATTTGGCGGAAACATTGGAAGTGGCTCAAATCAAAGTGGAAGGACGCGTCTACGGCAGCATGTAAATTGAAGACTTTTACCTTTTCCAAAGACAAAATAAATAGGCTTTTAATGACCCGCATTACTTATAAACTAGGGCAGATAAAACTATAAAAGCTTATATTCAATTGGCAATGCTGTAGTCACTCTACAAAAATAGAAATAATCGGCCAAGCCTATCCAAAATCAAAATATTTTTTGTGAGAGCCTTTATAATATGCACAAGCAAGCTTTGAAATTCTTTAAAGGTAATTGCTTTCTTAAGCGACAAATTCGAAACACCCATAGCGTGTCACTCTGTTCATTTGTCGAAAATCTATGGTAAACATTGTCTGTTCATTGCCTCCTAATTCTAAGGACAAAAAAAAATTGAAATTGATCTAAATCGGTTAAGCAAAGCCGTACCCTGTGCCGGATTAACTGACAACAACTTTTCTTTCTAGGTTTTCTGCTTATAATTTGCTTATAATCTAGAAGAGACACACGATGCGCAACTTGATCCAATGCATTGTTATAAACTATGAAAATTTAATTTTTTTAGCTTTTTGTTAGCCGCCTCTAGAATAAAAGTAAATACGATGCCAAATGTGATTTTCTTATATATTTGAATATTTTTCAAAATTGATTTTCTTTAATACTTAAATGTGTGTTCGATAACCTCAACAACTCTCTGGTATCTTCTCTTCCATCCGAAAATTATTGCTTTGCAGCTATTGTCGGAGCTTTTCCCGTTAAGTGGTTTTGTTTCGCTGGCAAGGGATGGTTTCCGGTGTCTCCCTACAAAGGATGCCAATCAGCGTTCAATTCTAACGTCAAAGAAAACATCCTCCAATAACCTTTAGTATAGTATACCGTTGACTGCAATCAGCACAAACCTAAGTTATGAACAATTTGGCGGGTTTTCCATTGCATATGCACCATGGCAGTTCAACTGAACCTTAAATCGATAAGAACGTGTGCTGCGTTACAATTCAATTTTCTAGAATCTTAGTAATGATTTCAGTTAATATTTCACTCCTGCGTAGGCTTCTAATAACTGTAAGTACTTTCTCAACAAATGATACAGTTTTCACATCTCCTATATTTTATTTTGCTATAATGCGTAGAATAAGAATGATCTTGAGGAAAATTGTAGCAAATAGATCCGATATCTAATAAAATATACAATTTAAGGCCAATTCAGAAATCCTTCTCTTTGTAGAAATTATAATAATAATATAATAAACATTATACATACATTGCATGAGAGAACATCTCTCATATGAAGAGAAAATAATAACGAGCCCAATGAATGACATGAAGTTGTAATATTAATAAAAAAGAGAGAATCGTAAACGCATAAAGCCAAACACTGAACAAATATTAATATACAAAAAATTTCGAAGGTAATAGTAATAGTAATTTCGTAAAATTTAGAAAGACAGGTAGATTATGTTAAAGGAAAATACCAATTATAACAATGTGTCGAATACTTAAGTAAAACATTTTGGTTTTGAAAATTTGAAAAAGATTACAGCTGTTTGTTTAATATGGACGATGTACGATTTGTTGTGTTAAGAGATTGTGTTAATAAATTTTTGTTTTTTCTTTTTTTAATCACACAAGTTTTCTTTCTTTACTTTCTTTGCTTCGGAGAACAACAAAGCTTCAAAGGCAAAGTCAGTATAACTGTAGTGCTTTTAAAACAAATTCAAAAAACACTTCTGGTAACCTAACTTCACATTTTACATGCTCCGTATGCTCTGTTTCGTTCAAAGTTTACAAAAAAAAAAAAAGCAAAAAAGAAAAACATTAAATTTAAAAATTTAAAAGCTCATGTAGCCACGTGAATTCGAGCGGCGCCGAGCGCAAAGGTAAGAAACCAAAACAATCATAATTAAAGCAACCAAAGCAATGCCAACTGCAATAGGCACCACGTCCGAAGTCTCGGTGCTATCGCAATCGCGAGCTGCCGAAAAACCAGTTTCTTTGAGTCATTTTCGAAACTTAGTTAATTTCCGCGACTCTGCCATTAATTAACTTCCGATCAAGTTGACGTCCGTTAAAGTGAATCTGAAATCAAATACGTGAAGAGTTTCACAAAATCGATTGAACTTAAATAATAGGAATTTTTGCGCGACATCACTTTCTAAGCCAACAGGGCATAAAGGCACGTTCGGTACAACAGGCAAAGCCAGGTGTTCCTGCTCTACCTCGCCCCAATGATAAGACGTGTATACGTTAAATCGTATTCAATGAACTAGATAATCTCCACTCTCATTATTATCGTGTAAGAGATAACACGCCCAAAAATGAATTCGCAATAGATCTGTTGACTAATTGTTTGATGATGTTTACAATGTAACCTAATCTAGCGCCTTAGTAATATTCTTAGTACATTGCCCTTCGATCTTGTTAAGATCAAGGCTGTGAAAATACATTTTTTTTTTTTTTTTTTTTTTCTTTGTGAAATATTTATTAATGAAGTAAGAATTGAAATGAAAGTAATTTAATTAATTATAACATTTGTATTAAAGTATTTATAAATTAAAATACAAACGATGTGAACTAATAACAAAGATTTCTATTGTCTTTGAACTATAATTCAATTTTAATTGCATCTGAGATTTGATGAATAATATTGTTATGTATAGGAAATCAAATAGTGCTCGTCGTGCCGACATTGTTGCGGTAAGGCATTAATAAATAACACGTCCTTGCAGACAAATGTAAATGCAGTACTGAAGCAAAAACTTTTCGAATTATAAGATTTTACTTAGACTTTTAGTGCCAATATGCCTTAGAAAAGTGTTTGTATGAATTCGTTACGAGTTTTCTATGATCAGTTAGTAAGTAAAACAACGAGATAAAATAACATATATATATACGTAAGAAAGTTTAGTCGCTAAGGTCAGGAATACAATGTTTATTAAAGACCTTTATTAAACACCCATACATACGTAATTGAACTGAAATGTTAATTTGAAACTGAATTGATGTCGAACTGAAAATTCGATTCGATAAAATAAAGTGACTAATATTGAATGAAAAAGTGTTAGCAAACTCTCATAATATTGCCGAGAGAAAAAGTCTTACCTTAATTAAAATATTGTCTTATTAAAGGGTAAGACTTACCCAATTTTATAAATATTAGATAAACTAAATTTAACTAAATATATTTTAATTTACACGGAATTGACTTACATACAATTTTGAAGCACTAGATATTTGTTTAATTCAAAAATTCAAAAAATATTCCAAGTTTTTGTATCCAAGATTACTTGCAATCCAAGGTACATAAAGGAATTTAAGTAGACATAGATTTCTTTTGTTCGTTCGATTCAAAATCATTTTCTATGCCAAGTTAAACCTATCTGTCCGTCTGACTACTCCTTTCTACCCACGCCTTCTGGTATTCATCCAGTAGGTCGCAATTTTTCAAATATTTCTACGAAATTCGCTAAAGTGTTTTGGCAAGAAGAAAAACAGATTGGATCGGACTATTTTCACTACCACTCTTAACATGACTTCTTTTTTTACATGAAAGAAAAAATTACGAATATTCGCTAAGCAGCAATATTGCTGATGTGAAAAATTTAGATCGAATGAACCAATTTGTGGAACACTCTCTCATATTCTCGTTCCTACGAAAAGCAGACCTGCATATAGGAAGAAGATTCAAATTTAAATTTATTATAAATAATATTTTATATTAAAAATTTATCCATAAAATAATTTGGCACAAAAGTAAACTATGTCAAATTTGCACCAAGTAGGATTGTGTTTTAAACCCAGGTCCCACATTCGCCAACCTTCTTGTCGTGTATTTTGTATAATATTTGAAGAATAATAATGCTTTTCGTCGCACTCTAATACAAAATTCGGATAAACAATTCAGAAAGAATGTTGTAGAACGTTTAAACCAATCCGCGTTTTTTTTTCTTGGCTTCACTTTTGTAAAATACATGAACAGATATGTATATGTTTCTTGTTTACTACTGGCCTGAAACCAAGTCACACCAAGACATCATATGCAGGACTATGCCGATTTGCAGTAGTTCTGTAGAATGAATTGAACTCAACCCATAGAGAGTTAAATTTATGCAGTGATTTCTAGATAAAGTGTGGCAAAGATATCCGTAATAATATCTTTGACAAGAAACTTAATTTTTCCAAATTTCGAAGACCTCCCCTCAGGTTTTGGGGACTCTCCCGTATAAGTAAGCAAGTGGGAAATAGGTAGTTCATGACACAAGTATTGAAGGTGAAGCATTCCCTTAGACGAAAGGACGTAAGGGATTTAATAGTCAGCTTTGTCTAACTATAATATTTGTACCGACTTTCTATTCGTAATACTCATGACGTATAGCTTTTATTGCACAATGAGTCTATAATGTAGAGCAGAAAGAAAAAATTTTGCCTATCTGCCTGGAATTTCTTCGTATTGTATTGCGAAATGATTGGCTCCGTGCTTACTTCTTTGCCTTGCATATGCGTTGACGATCATTCAACTATAAAGTTAAACTTGTTAATAAATCACAAAAATTAATAAATTACGCTCTCAACTGAAACGTGTTGGTCTATGAACTTTTTTTCCCTGACCCAAAAGCACAATATTAACTACAGATCTCGACTTCGTTATTAGAGCCCTAATCGAAAGAAGAACATAATACACATAAAAAATAAACAAACATATATACACGTATATACATCTATACATATACGGCGTTAGCTTGCGAGTTCATTTAGCCATTCATCCATTCAGTCATCAGTCTTCTAGTCTGTGATTGTTGCTGATACTCTCGCGACATATATATATATGCATATACGAGGTCAAGTTTTCAACTTCACCTATTCATTCATCCATCTGTTTCCCAGTCTGTGACTGTTGCTGCATGCCTTCCGCGCATAAATCTTGCGATAGAAAGCTGCAGCTTAGCCTTAGATTCTTAAGACTAGGTCGGTCTTCGAAATGACAATTCATGGAAGGACGTTGACCTCAAATTTTGTAAAAATAGTAAGCTTTTCACATCTGAAAGTTCCTAGCGAAAAAAGGTTTAAGCAAAAAAATTTCAGTTTGATTGATTACTAAAACGCTTTTATTTGCAATTTTTATAGTTTCGCTTGAGTCGGTAAGTTTTTCAGATTTTTTATTTACTGCATTGCAATTGAAATTCAGGTCAGCCCCCAAATATCGCCTAATATTCCCGCGCTCTATTACATAAATTCATTATGATGATGTGAATTCATAAGCTAAGTGAATTTGATTTTTGCAAACTCATTCTATCGCAGATCGTAGCACTGAAAGCGTAATTTAGTGAAATTTCTTATTAATCTGAATTTCAAATTATTCTGCGGTGTGCGTTATGCATTGAAGGCAAAAAGAAAAAAAAAATAATAAAAAAAATAATAATAATAATAACGATTGTAAGTTATAATAAAATTTGTTATTTAAATTTCAAAGTGAAGGCAAAAATATACAAATATTTTATTTATTAACTATGAAATAAATGAAACATCTTTCAGTTGAGTTTAAGATCGCTTTTTCTTAAGATCGTATCCGATAAGGTAGACGCAGTGCTTTAACACGCAATATATGAAAAAAAAAATAACATAAAAAAATTCATAACCAAATGTAAATAAATATTTTTCTCGCTTTTCAAGTTTTATACAAAATAAACGATTAAAAAGAATTAAATCGTAGAGTGAACGCGAAATATGATATTAGATAACTAATTAGAAAAAAAAAACGCAGATAAATTATTTGGAAAAATTCGTCAAAAAGTATTAAACAAGTAAGCAAATATAAACTTGCTCCTCTCATCACAAGAAATCTTTTCTCATTAATAAGCGGATTATAACTATTTTTGTTAAATAATCTTTTTTTTTTTTGTATCTTGATATCTTCATATTCTCGCTGCAAAGCATCGTCATCTTATTTAACAAGCGGCTTACTAATAACAATGTAGACTGCTTTTCATTTGTTCATTGGCAAGACTTTGACTCCAATTATTCTCAGTTCATCGGTGTTAACAGACATTTCAACTCCTGATCCTGGACTAGACACACTTGGATAGATCGGCAGAAACTCTTGGTAGCTAATGTTCAGTTTGAGACAGTTCGTAAGTGCTAAGTTCAATGAGATTGTTGATCTCGAGCGCATCTCTTTAAGACAAATCATGGCTCAATTAGACCGCCAACGCAAACTTTACGCACAAATGTCACTGGCTGTGTTTGAATAATTTTCTCTTAGAAGAGAAATGTTTAGAGTAATTTTGTTTAAAAAATGCTTAACCTCGGTTATGCGTTTCTAGCATTCAATCAGCGAATGTATCTGAAAACTCTATCGTCTTTACTTGTCAAATGTCATCCAAATGACAAATACTTCTTGACCGTGCGTGAAAGTGGAATGAACTATAAATGCTTCATGTCAATTGCGACAACCAGAAAACGATTTGAGAGATATATTAAGTTAGACGAAAGATGAGGAAAAGCCATCGAATGATGCATTTCACGACAGGGAAGTTGGTTATCCACGTTACACGATAAGCATTAGGAGATGAATTCCTGGTTCGTTTTTCTCGAAAGTGTTTCAATTTTCAACTTCTACTCAAAACAGATTCTGTAGTCCATTTCTCATAAGCCGCATAATTGTTATAAAAATTCTACTCAGAGCAGATTTGGTAGATTCTCTGTACTGGGCAAATTTTTAGCTTTGTACTCATTAACAAAGCTTGGACGCCTAAACCTTCAATAAGCGCACAGATTAAAATCAATCGATCCTTGTCCGTCCGTCCATACTTCCCTGGATGTCTTTATGGTGAGCAATCTTCCGATCGTCACAATTAAGAGAACGCCTTCAAACTTGGCAAAATCCTGGAAATCTTGTAATCTTGTCATTTAAAAACAAAACATTCAAGAGTTTAAGACCTTCGAGGAATTGTCTTACTTCCATTGACTTTTCGAATATTAAAACAAAAGTGTAATGAGTTCTGTTATCTGTAGTATGAAAACCAGATCACAGATGCCTTTTTTTTCTTTTTTACGTACATATGTAATGAAAGTCGAATTTTTAATTTGATTTAGTATTAAAAGTGAAATTGTGTAAACTCGGAAGCTTTCAAAGAAACTTGGGCAGTTATGATTCGCTCATCCAATTCAATATCAGCAGAGAAGTAAATAAAAAAACTTGATTTATTGATTTCAAAAACGTACAGTATATCGGATTTCAATCTTTTCCCCAAACAGCCAGCTGAAGCTCCCTAAGTCGATGTATTTTCGCATCGGATGAATCAACAAACGGTTGAATGCTTATGCCTTCCGAATATATTTGCTTCAAGATCTTAGTCCAATAGCACTTACAACCCGGCATTGACAGTTATGGTTTAAAATTTTCTTCAAATTCAAGTTTAATTTTTGTAGTATTTTAAAAGGCACTATGCGCGGCACATCTAAGTTTTTTAATAATCTTTTCATGTTTATCCTTACAAAACTGCTATATTCCAAGTCACGAAAATAGTTATTAAAATGTCAACGAAAATAATTTAAAAAAAAAAAAAAACTCCACCATATCATATATAAATGTATTAGGTGCTTGCAAAAATTTTAATCAACGATTTCTACAGCTAAAAAAGAAGAAATGGGAAACGCCAGTCTACATAACGGTTGAATTCGATGGTTGCGATATTCCTCTACATAAAATAATAGTTTTCCATTTAATATCATTGACTTATTCCGTGGCACGCCAAAGCTAATCATGGAGCGCTCGGAATTTTTCTTCTGCTGCTCAAACCAACTAAACGCATTTATGCCATTTCTTGGTGGATTGTTGCAAGAGTTGTCGAGGATACCCTATTGCAGCTCGAATGCAAAGTTTTGCAGCACCCAGCGTAATCACTAAACTTGACGCCTTCTCTTCACTACTTGTGCAGATCGATGTAGCATGGCTTGGCTGGACTGCGGTTCCGCAAAGTTGAAGAAGTGCGAAAACAGATCGGTGGGTGGATCGCTGCCAAACCAATATAAGTTCTTTCGGTATGATTTCGCCATGCTACCAAAAATATTGTCAAATGTTGTAGAAAATGATGGAAATTGTTCTGGTTAATATACAGTGTACCAGTTTTTCTCAATCGAAATAAATGATCAAAATTTTTGCAAGTACCTAATACAAAAAATTTTTGAGCTCAAATCTATGGTAGTTAATTATCAAATCAAAATTATGTTTTTTTTTTTTTTTTTTATATATACATATATCTCAGTAAATCAGCGAATAATTGTTTTGTTAAGAATACAACGCACACGAACATTTCAGCTCTTAATCAGTAATGAATTTGATAATTTAGAATGCTTTCATACCATCATTGTAAAGAAAAACACATTCGATGGCAGTACGAAATATACGTGGGCAGCGAACAAGCTGGTCACTTACAGTGAAACGCCCTCAAACAAATAAAATTGAAAACAATTAGTAAACAATAAAAATGCAATGAACGTAAGTAAATTGCAAAGATAATGAAATTTGTATAGAGTTTTTTTTTATTTATTTATTTTTATTTATTTTATTTTGAATTTTTTATTTTTAGTTCTTTTGTTTACATATTTGAAAGCATAAGCATTTGTTTGGTTTTCCCATAATTTTTAACAAATATGGGACATAATAATATATCAATCAAGTCTCACAATTACCTTTACGTGCATATTTTCAAAATTAATATCGAATTTTATATCATATTTAATGCATTGTCGTTGTTGCTGTTTTTTGCATACATAGGCGTAAGAGAAAAAAATTCCATTTTTGTTTCTAAGACTTATGCTATTCAATTGCAAATTAATATATGCCGGTTGAAAATAGATGCGCTATGCTTGCATCCTCCAAGGTGTCGCTAACAGAAATTTGTAGAAAATTGACATAAGGTTTTGAAGTATGGATAACTGAATTTTAACCCGAACATATTTATCTTGAAGACGATACACGTGAAGCGAAAAGCGCTTATTACAATATTGTAGTGTCGACGGCATCCTTACTTTCTTCTGCCATAGGCATCCCAGGAGAACATGTACTTGAAAAAATTCTTTCCTTGTTCTCAATGCGAATCAAAAGCAAAAGGGGCGAGTGCAGAATTGATTGAGTGAAATAATGATTTTGTACTTTGCATATGAGTAATTGACGATTACAAAGCTCAAAGAAAGTCAGAAGAAATATAGTAGCACGACCTCGAAGAGACAAGCGATAATGTGTTACTTAATTATGAAAAGAATTTTAGTAAGAAATTTCACCTCTAGTTTTCTGAAAAACTGTAGCACATTTTAAAACTTACCTGTCGAGTCTGAAATTTTAATTTTCATTTTTTTGAAAGTCGTTAGTTTGTTTGCCTGAAAATCCATAGGTTGATAATTTTTGTATTATTGACTATGTGTTAATATAAAAAGAGAGTTTTTCTTTGCATTCAATAGAGGGTAAGTCTAACCTCTCTCAATAGAGAGAAAAGCAAATAGTTTTAAAAAAAGAAATTGTTTTTATTAATTACTTTTCTAAATTAAACGAGCCAACGAATACACAAGAAGAGGCCGGCAACGCAAAGAAAGATATTTTTACAATACTTTCATTCTCCGTTTTTTACGGACAATAAGTTGAGAAACCCAATGAGAGATTTGAAGTGCGATTTGTAGCCATGCAAATCTACATATAGCAAACTTTGTACCGGTAAAGCATTTAGCAAGAAATTATAAAGAACGTAAATAAATAGTTTTTGTGGACTTTTCTGTTTAACGTCACGCAGATGAATCTACACGTTTTGAAGCGGCTTTCGAAGTTGCTTCTCTTAATACAATTGTCTTTTTGAGTTGCCTGTCAACCTACACATTTTCTACTGTCCCCCTCGTCTGCATAAGGTACGTAAAATAAATTCTTTGTATTAAAATGGTTGCTCCGTAAGACATAGACGACGCTGTCATTTTCTCCGCACATAGTCCAGACATCGGGGTTTGTATGGCATAAGTTGCAAGTACTTGCAAACTATCCTACAGTGTACGTCACTATGTAATGGTATCGATGTCATTTACGGTAATGCCTTTTTTTGCTAGCGCTATGGAACAAGCTATGGAACAGCTAGAACACGATCTTGAAGACGGGTAGACCCTTCAGAACTTCGTTCGGTGGAATAGGAAACGGATCATCAGAGCCATTTATGGGCAAAGGAACTGGATAAGAGATTTTGCTTCATGACAAGCCTCCGTCCATGAGCAACAAAAGCAACAGACGAAGTGATTTTCAACTTGGTCTGGGAACATATGCCGATAGCCGCGAGATATTCTCTAAATCTGTCAATGCAGTCCTATTCAACAGATCAGCAGCTTTGCAAAGTTGAACATATGCGAAAATGGGCAGATGCCTCTTTCATCTTGGAAGCACCAAGTTTTTACTTTGAGGGCATCTGATAGAAGGCAAAAGATGGTGAATGTTATGATTGTAAGGCTTTATGCAAATTAAGAATTTTATCAAATATAAGATGGAATTTGTTAGCACACCTATCAATGTCAATCTATAACTTAAGCAGAAACTAAACAAAAAATAACAAAAACCATCAAATCATCACAATTTTATTGAAACTAAATTAAAATGCATGAGAATACCTGGCTACTTGTATACCAAATTAAGTGATCGACAGTTTTGCCGTACTTTCGGTTCTATATTTACTCACTAGAACGGAAAAATTACAATGGCGAACAAGTAAAAAAAAAATAATTACCAATCGCCACCTAGCGAACATTTCTAATCCATGCAAGGCAGTTGGTAGCATAAGCTGTGTCTTCCTTAAATATAATCAATCGGTTTGCTTCTTCATTTTCTATATAATAATTAATTAATTAGTAAGTAATTAAATGAAAAATTTTGGTTTAATGCAAACGTCAGTGATTCCACTTAATGTTGTTGAAAACGTCGGTGGAAAGAACAAAGGCTTGCTAATTAAAAATCTACCTATTTCTACGCTGGCTATAAATTCCTCAGGCATCGCTTGAGAAACACAGGCATCCTCGAGATCGATTCATGCAGATGTTACCAAGGGACGAGCGGAACGTCTTCGTCATATGCTATGTGAATGCGGCGCCTTCTCTCGATTCAAACACCAAGTATTTGATGAACATAGCGCCAGTCTCCACGTTGTGCTCCAAACTAACGAAAATGACGGAATTCATAAAAATCCTAAAAATGAAGAGCTAGAGGCACGGGCATGTACAATAGATCGTCTAGGTCCTGATATGGGATGCCCATCAAGTAATAATAATAATGATAATAACAATTAAGTCCGCCGCAGTAAAGCGATAAAAATTTCCAATCTTAGCTTTATATCTACAGCGCCATAGCGCGTTTCATTTTAAGGCAAAAAAAAAATCACTCATTGCGAGTTTTCAAAGCAAACCCATTTCTCTTCAATTCTCAACTAAAACGTATAAATTTTTATATACAATGTACAGGCACTTATTATGCTGACGTACCGTCAATGATACTTGTTGTTGATATAGATCGTGTGATATTCACAACTACAATGCATAGTTTGCATGAATACAAAGCTATGCTTAAATTACTGTTAGCTTTCTATTTTTTATTTTCCTACACATTTTCAATAAGAAAAATATTCTCTTCTATTTAAGCCGAATATTCAAATACCTTACAATGGTGGGGTGGGGTGGGGTGGGGGTGGGAAAATGGATTTTATTTAATTACTTTATTTTAAGTGTAAGCATAAGAATCGTTAAACAACGGCAAACAATTATTTATTTATAGATGAAAAAAATTTTAATTAGACTCGATCTGATCTCATTTTAAATATTTTCAGATATATGTTTAGATATAAAAAAAAACTAAATCGTATGCAAGTAATGCATAATGAAGTGAAAGTACTTTCTGTCATTGTAGGCGAAAATGTATATTTTATATTTTCCTTCAAGAGGCTGTTTGGTTTTAGTAAGAGTTTGTCATTAAGCGCGACACGAAAACCAAGTGAAATAACGTTTACACATTTCAAAAATTTTAGTATCAAAGCCGATGACAAGTGCTAACAAGACGTTTGTTTAAGAATAGCAATTAATATTAATTTATTTTTAGTTAAAAGCAAAACGTGTGCAATTATAACTAAAAATTACTTACTTACTTACTTATTTTTACTCGTAGACTGCCAACCAAAAGAAGGAAATGTTTTCTTTAAAAAGAAAGAAAGGAAAATAAGCGCAAAATTTGATTACGATTCAATAGAAATTTAATGAAATTTTCTAAAAAGTGTTTTGTTTTTTTTTTTTTTTTTATTTCTCTCCTCCATTTAATTAACTACAAGTGTACACACATTGTTACTACATATTAAATATAATAATCACTTATGCTCCTCTTATACATTCTGTATATGATAAAGAGCAATGCAATACTCATACGCCTAGTTTGCTATATTTCGGTTGCCTTAAAATCAAGTTAACGCTAAAAGTACGTAAAATATTGTGTGTTTTTTTTTTTTTTATAACTATAAGAAGAAAAGGAAAATGAAGAAGAAGAAGAAGATGAAGAAGAGGAAAAATTTACTCAATCGACAAGTTATGTGCACTCTATTGACGCTATAAATGAAAATTAAGTTATAATCTAATATGGAAATTCAATTATCTTTGAAAATGAAACGAAATGAATTTATAAAGAGTGATATGAAGAGAGTGTTGGTTGCTGGCTGCTGGTTGTTGATTGTTGTTGTTGTTGTTGTTGTTGTTGTTCTTACCGGAAGAACATTATAAATTGTATGACATAGACAAGCAATTGATATATTTAACGAACGAAAAGAACGCCTGACTTAGGCTTGAGAATTCTTTGAAAACACAAGCGACACAAATTGCAGCTAACGAAACTAAAGAGAGGGGGAAAAAATAATTGCGCGATAAATACATTAATGAAGAAAATTTGTTTAAATTGATTTAAAACATCTTTTACATTATAATTGTATTATTATTAATTATTCGATAACTCATAAGTACCGAGCCGAGTTATTTTTATAATGCTTTTTGTTTGCCTTAAATTACAAATCGCTGCACAATTAATCGATCCGCGAAAGTCTAATAATTTCCTTCATATCATTTGTGGTGTTTGAAAATAGGCAGCCCAGTCCATGATGTCCGTACGTCCAGCTTATCGTTGAATCTCCTGCACGCATTCGATTAAACTAAAACGTAAAGTTGATATCTTCTCAGACCGATGTTCTAAAACTGAACTCTATCTAATTTTGCGCTTAAGTGTAACCTTAACAACAAGCTAGGATGGATTTGACAAAATGTGGAAAGTTTCATTTTAATCCATTTTCTTCGCCCAATGGGCACATGTGTGAGCTAAATTCACCCAGAAGTCTGAAAATAATTTCAATTAATACCGTTCAGTACTGTTTTTTTTTATTTAAGAAATTTTTACAATTCTACGAATTGTAATAAAAAGCAATATCTCTCCACAAGAGATCATTAGTCATTTTCGGCGTACCCAATGCAAATGTCATCTTTAAGAACATATCGACAATGCAGAGAAAAACTTCGGTGCATTTAGTGGAAGGACAAAAATCCAAAACTTTTTATATTGCACTGCAGAGTAGAGTTTCAGCTCAGTGGACTGGATCATCACCAACCTAAACGAATAATGACTACAAAGTTTTCTATCTAAATGTAGATCGTAAGCTAAGGTACAATTTCGTGCTGAAAAAGAAGTAAGAAAATCATTAACATGTTATATAAGATAACTTTATCAACACCACTACAGTTGCCTATATACAAACGAGAAAAGTATAAATTTCCACCTATGGCAAGAATGCCAGATACCGCCCACTTAATACAAAGAAGAAAATTAAAAATAAAATATATACATATATATGTGTTTACTGAATATTATTATATATTATATAGTATAGTATATATATATTATTATATACAAATATATATATATATATATATATATATATATATCCTATATATAATTATATATATATATGTATATATATTATCATATATTAGCAGTATATATATATATATATATATATTTTTTTTTTATTGAATAGCTTTATGTACTTAAGCTATTCAAAATTGAATTCGCAAAAAAACGCTTTTTCAATAGGAATAGTTATTAGAAGTTCCATATATCGATAATAAATTCAAGTAAGGTAATTAACCTTTCCGGAAAACATCTTCCTAAATGAGTGGAAACGTGTTCCATTGACTCTATAGCACAAGTAATATTCAACAATTGAAGCGTTTAGAAAATTTATCACCATTTAATTACATATGCATACAAAGTACATTTAGTAGTTTACAATAAGCTACACCTTCAACAGTAAATATTTTATTTTTTGCACATTTTATGCATTTATGGCAGCAACTTTATAATACCGAATCAACGCAATTGAAAAAATATCAAATGTTTTAAAGCAATTAGAAAAATGTTTAATAATCTTATTAACATAAAATAATCCGAGAATCGGCTTTGACTAAATCAATAAAAAGTTATTTAAGATATCACCATGGGATTGGGTTATGCGTATCTTCGCATTAATCTCGTGTGTGTGTAGTATCGAAAAATAGAAGCCAGAGACTTCATAAAGCAATTGTGCACTTATTTGCATCAAGATATTTAAGCATTGTCTTCCCCTCTATCCGTTCGCCCCATGTTGCCGCTGAACAAATTAAAACCGAAATTAAAATGGAAAGTTCAAGCTTTACATTCTTAGTTGAAATGCTAAGGTCATGATGCATTGACACTAATCGTCGCAGACGCTGCTGAAAAGCTAAAACACACCGCAACAAATCAAAATTTATTGTAGAATTATTACCGGCAGAATGAATGAAAAAACGATACGTTTTATACGTGCTTCCTTATGGTTGTGTCAGTTCAAGATTTGTCATAAGCTGCTTATCCGCTTAATTCCTGAGTATATATTTCATGAACCATGCTTCGTGTATACATCTATTCCTCGCTTTACAATGCCGATGGGTTGCTTATAAAATTGTGACGTCGAAAATGGAAATAAAACAAGTATAAAAACATATGTATATATACGCGTATATCATATCTAATGTAATATATAGAAAATGATGATATTATTATCATTATCATATAGACTAAATAAAATAAATTCTTAACCTAAAAAATAAAGCAAATTGCGCGCTAGCACCATAGTTTATTGTCTCTACTTCAGAAAAAAAAAAAAAATTACATGTTAGTGAAGGTTCAGAGTATGTAATAAATGAAAACTTTAGGCAATCACAGAATGTGCTTTATTGTAAGGACTGGTTGCAGATTGGAGTAGAGAGTACTTTAGGGTGCGTTGCAACAGTATGGTCAAGCCGAATGTTCGCAAATGTTTTGATCTTAATTTTGTTAATAACAGTTGAACTAGGTGAGGATTAACAAAGCAGTAGTGCCGATGTCAACAATGCTAATTTGTTTCCATAATGTTCTCTTTAAGTTTCCTTCCAATTTTCTTTTGAAGGTCCATCTTTTCCGTGATATCGTCCATAATTAGCTGTTCATAAGCAGCAAACTATGCCCCTCTATTGGTTTCCCAATTGCCCAATAAATTGACATGAGTAAGCACCGAAAGAGTTCTAATTTTATCACCGCATGTTGTAGTTTTATCGAAGGTTACCGGTTAGCTCTCAACAAAGACAAAGTATCAGTGAGAATAACAGTTTTGAGTTGATGATGAGTACGGTTCATAACTCGAAGGATGGCCCTGCCTCGGACCATCATTAAATATCGTACATTATGTTAAAGTTGCACGCTTAACAAACTTTTCAAAATAGGTGGTTATATGGGAAGGGGGTGCGCATAGCGTTCCTCCCTGGATATAAATTGTCAAAAATTACGATCTTAAGGTTGAACGCAGGAAAACAAGACGGACGAACGGACAGACAACAAACATAACGAAAGTGAAGTCTGTCGCAACTCCTCTTAAATGTGCAGTAAATCCGCTTTAACTTAATATACTTTTGTGCCAGAAGTGGTTTGGGATATGAAAAAAAAAAAAAAACTCGAGCTGATTTCAACGTTCAGGATTGTATACTAAATTTATTTCGCAAATTTTTCTGTTTTTTAGGTAGTTCGCTGAAAATAGTTACGTAAGTTAGCGGTAAATATTGCGGGATGAGTAAAATTAATTCACCAATTTGAATGGATCTCCGATCAATATTTTTGGTTACCTAATACTTTCATACAATACATTCTAAGAAGTGTACATTTAAGTCTATTATAAAACAACATTCATTTATTTATGTAAAATTTTGATGGATTTTTCCGCTTGCAGTAATAATTTCATAACGCAATGCAATCGATTGATTCTGGTGGTGAGTTGAAAGAACAAAACAATACCACCGTAACAACTTCAACAACAAGTCACAACGAATCGACCACATCTTTCACTACCAACAACACAACATCGACGAACTCAACAGCACTCAATAACGATACAATCAGTAAAAATCCATTCAAGCAACAGCCTCTTAATCAACGGCATCATCACTCGCAGCATCAACAGCATAATGGCAGCGCAGATGCTGAGCGCGGGGACGGCAGTAACTATACCGGAATTTTGGGTGTCGGAACACCTGCCGCCTCCACAAACAACAATCGCCAAACAAAAATGACAACAACGCCGTCACCCATACCGCCTCCAGATGATCATAGGCAAGAAGATTACCGAGCGGCCGGGTCGTGGGCTGCCTTCAAAAACTGGATGATACAATGGCGTGGTTCAAGACGTTTAGTATTAGTTATAGTGGCCATTGCTTTATTGTTGGATAACATGCTGCTAACTACAGTCGGTAAGTCGAAAATAACAACAAACGACCAAGTAAAACTTGAGCAATAAACTTGCATTCGTCTTAAAATAAGTTTGAAATGCTTCCACATCTGAACAGAAAATGTCCTTTTAAATTAATTCGATTTAATATATCCCCCATCCGCAAATATGATTTACATTTCAGGAGATAAACGTCCATAAACAGTACTTTTATCTAGAAATCCCTTCCTTTTAACATTCCATGTAATGACAGCGCACATAGCGTAACATATGATGAACGAGACAATAATAGAAAGTATTATTGATATCTTGGCAAAGTAAAATGCAAAGAGAATAAAGAAAAACTTTTATCCGCCTTAGGGCACGTGTCTAATATACACCACTATAAAAGGACATTGGTCGATCGGGATCATTTTTAAACTAGCCTATTAAATAGCTGTGACAAATATTTTTACCGGATTTCATATAAATACTACTCAGGAATTCGATAATTGCAATTCATTTATAGGCGGGCTTATGCCCATTTTTCACTGAAAATTTTGGTGGCCATGGTAAAGATTTGTATACAATGCCTAGTCAACAAATTGTAAGTTCTAGTTTTTTGGCCCATTGTCGATATAGCGTTCGGCAGGCTCATGTCTATTTTCAAATTTGATCTGTTGCCATCAATTAAGAATGCATAACACAACCGAAAGGCGGACGGGCGGACGGACAAATAAACTAATAAAAATATGTATTTATTTATTTTCTATATAAATAAATTTGCAAAGTATGCATTTAAAGGCCGCCGGATAACTTAGATCATATGCTCGCTCATACTGAAGATTCTACCGCACCTGAGATTTGAACCCGCGATCCTTTCCCTACTCATTCGGATATTAAATATTAATTATTACGTCTACAATGTGTATTTCGAGATACTACAAATGAACGGACAAATCTACTGCATGTATTTATGACCATACCATCTCAAATTTTTTTCAAAAACTACAAATATCTATCGAAACAATTTACTTTTCTGCATTTCCTGTGCAGAAAAAAATTGGTTTTCTTCGTGCAAAAAATAATCTTCATTTTTTTACCGTATTATTTATGCAAAAATATGTTATCAAGCAAAAAAAATATCTTTCGTGCAAAAAAAATTTTTCGTGCAAAAAAAATTTTTCGTGCAAAAAAAATTTTTCGTGCAAAAAACCCTTTGAGAAACTATATACTTAAAGGCGCAGCGTTCCACCTTTAAGTATTATTAAAATAGTGATAGATTTAGAAATACAATTATTCCTACTAAGAGAATATCGACTTAAAGATATTTTTATATAGAAAAAGGGCGCACCAATTATACTAAAGGAAACTATTTTCTTTCTTAATTAATGTTTGTCTCCAATCCACGCCAGTATATTCTTTGGGTTCCATTTATCAAGAATTATCCAAGGTTGGCCAGTGTATGGACCACTATTTGTAACGAAACTTGCTTCTCGGATTAAGTTTTCTATTTTTTCCATTCTTTCCTGTGAAACCAAAACTCTCTAACTATTGATTTCATCATGGAACTTTTTGAATTTTTACAAATGCTATCATTTGTGTGTTACATGTACATGAATGGACGATTATTATTCCCTTTGGGGCACATTCATTATCCTTTGCTGATACGATTTATTTTCTTTGCTAATTTTCATTTGTCAAGTGGCACTCATTTATCCGCACCATGTTGTGTGTTATGAATAAAGGGCGGCTAGTTAGAGCTGTTGTAGACATTCGACAAGTAATCAAACTTTAAGTGCTATTTGTCTAACACACACGCACATTTGTATTATTTATTTGATGTAAAGGCAGCAGAACGCAAAGTACGAGTTTATGTTGGAATCAATTAAATAAGCACTAGACAACGACATTCAAATAACCAGAGGAAAAGTGGAAAACAAATCGATTTCTAGCAATGCTAGGCATTCATGTATGCTCATAATAGAAGGACATCAAATTGGAAAATGCACTAAAGTGCTTCGGAAGGAAAAAGAATTTCAAAGCATGTCAAGAAACTCTTAAGAAACGCCTACGAAGAAGCTAACGCAAACTTTATGAGAAAAAAGTTAAATGGAAAATTTTATGACACAGAGACTATGAGAGGTATTATTACGAGTTCCATTTTAAGGTCATAAGCGCTTTCCCCTTAAAACCTAAACCTTGACAAATGTTCCGTCAATTGTTTTCCGATAAGCAATTTGAAAGAGAAAAACTTATATAGCAAACGGGACGTTTTTAATTTCAGTTTGGGGATTTCGACAGCAAACCTTTTAGTCGGGCCAATGAATGCGATCATAAATAGTTATGTTTGCCTTGGTCCAACATATATAAGCAAGTACCTTAGAATGTTATGCTAATCAAAAATATATGTTTGTTATGGGGTTATTGCTGCACAACTAATATTCCCATCTTTCTTTGGTCTACGGTCACAATACGACCTTTTTATAGCTCTTATGCCTTTCACCACTTGTTGCGGGTATAATATCGAGAAGAACTTATGACAGACTCATTTTTATTATGCCGACCAGCGTAATTTTTATTAAGCTTTTTTTACTAAGCTTGTCTGCCTGTTTCTCTGTTCACCTAAGTTACATGTAGCAAACTTTTTAAATATTTTGGCAAAATTTTGTTTTATTGGTTCAGGGAAAAATTTGATTGGAAATGAATTGGATCTGATCATTTATTCGACCATGCCCCACAAAATGGCTTATTATGAAAAATTCGTTATATGAGCAAAGTCGTCAATAAAATTCTCTAAGTAATAAGATTTTTCCTTATTAAATTGACGTGAAAACTTTTGATTAGATGAGCCAATTTTTTGAACCAGCTACCAGAAAACCGTTCCCAAAGAAATTAAGCCTTTATACAGGAAATAGCTCTAATTTTTAATATTTTGTATAAAAAATACAACCATAATACTAATATGCTATAAAAACTAGTATTATGAAATTTGCACCACGTAGGTATACCTATTTTGCCCCGGCCCCCATAAGGGTTATCATCAGAAATAAACTTTTATTTACCGAAAGGATTTAATTTTCAGTGTTCTATGACGAACACAAGAGAAACATAATAACTTAACTTAATATTCATCAATTTGGACCAGGTCCGTTCAGCTTTTGAGCCCCTCCTTAGTAACGATATAGATTATGTAATTTATCTTTACCTAGCACGTGTCTTAACCTGTAAATAAATTTAATCAAAACAAGAATAAAGTAAACACGAGCTAAATTTTTTATCAAAATTTATGATCTTCTCCTACATAACTGAATGCGCGAACCTCTTGTGAAATATTTAGAATCGACACAACCAGTATTACTATCTTATGGAAAAAAGACTAATATATAATACACCCGCCTGATATGGTGCTGGAGATAGCTCGAAATTCATCAACAACATCCACTTTCCGTTCAGTATATGGCACAAGTTTGAATATCCTCGGAAAAAAATTTGCAAGATGCAGCTCTAAATACCGCAGCGCCAGGGAAAGAATCAAGGTATCGAAGACTAAGTCTAATGCTCTTAACAAGAAATCGTACTAAACAAAATTTGAAATATTTTCATTAGCAAACTATCAACTTTGGGCAAAAATATTTCAAAATTAGGATGAATCGATGTAATCTCTTATTGAAGGTCTTGATACCGATCTTGAGGCTTACCGATGCCATTTTAATTAACCAAAATTTTAAAAATTTTCATTTTTTTCTATTTTATCTTTACATGATGAGCACAGAAAATTCGTCTTAGTCCTTGAGAAAGAAAAGAAAGACTCTTAAGTAAAGGGTAGAGTGTGAAGACTTTTGTGAAGAAATAAAAAAAAATCTCTTTCAAACCTAACAATAGCAATATAATCTTCAAATAGTAGATATTTTTTGTGTACGTGTGTTTTTCACACAAAGAAAGCGCACAAGTGGAAGAGAATTCTTTTACTTGGCTTCAAGAACAACTTGTTGAAACACACAAAGTCAAAACAGTCAGATACGCGAATATACACATATACGTTATGCGACAAAAGTGTAAACATTCCCCATAGATATTACAAACTTTATTGCGTACAGACCTATGCGAATTTAAAAGTCGCAAAGTAAATATTTTTATATCTATTATCAGTGATTCCTTTATTCAAAGCTTGTTATGGTTAAAAATGTGCTTCAGATATCCCACAAGTTATTTTGAATTGATTTACGATTCTAGATTGCTTTAGCCCGTTCGTTATCGTTTGTAGGATCTTTCGACTTGCAAAAGTTAAGACGGATGCTTAAAATGTAATGGAAGGTCCACTAGCTCAAGATCATCTAATCCCACGTCCAGAATAGGAATCGATTCTCTTCTTCGAGTTGGATAATTGAAGATGTTCTCTTGATTGAGTTTATAAGTTGCTAGCCAGATATTTTCCAATTTTTGCCTTATCATCAGTGAAATCCGTTAATATAGGAAATGGATTGGAATACGATTTCAAGCCATCTTCCCCTGCGTTTCGTAAAGGTCTGCTAGGAATGTAAACACTTTGCATCACCCCTCTATTTGCTTCGACTTTCATCCCTTCCAACGGTGAAAAGAAAAAAGTAAGAAAAGGTTTGTCTTCGCGAATGTTACAAACGTAATAACAAATTTGTTATACCGCTAATGTGACGTAAAGCGAAAATGAGAGAACTTTAATGGAGTTTTTTCCTGAGATAGACACCCTTATTTTATTATGTACATACACACACACTTGCACTCTCGAAATACGAACTTTCTTAGCGTTAGAACGAAGAATAATGGAGAAAAAATGAAAATCAAAACTGTAACCGCCAGAGCAAGCAATCACCTTAAGTGGCCGCATTTAAGATAAATCAAACATTTAGAAAGAAAAAGAGACTTTCCTTCTTTTATAAACTCCATCCATCATCCATCCATATGTATTTACTTAGTGTACTTTTATCGTTTCCTTACATTTATTTAGAAAGATTTCTTTACTTGACTTCAGAAATGATTCAAATGATTAGTGTGCTAGAAAGTGTTACTGCACGATGTTAATTTTCCACTTTATTATAATGCCAGTGAATCATATGTCATTAAATTAATTTTCTATTCTTCAAGTTTAAATGTTATAAGAATTTCCTAAGAAAGAAAGAATGAAAAAATCTTTCCTTGAAAGAAAAGCAAAGAAATTTATAGATATATTAATAGACGGATAGAGTAAATTGTTTCGCATATCCTTGCAAGCCCAAATGTTTAAAAAATTGACAATAATAATAATAAAATAAATGAATAGGAAAAAAATAAAGTAAATCAATAATATGTAACATAAAACGTAATAATATGAAATAATTACTTAAAATAAAATTACATATAAATACATACTAGTACTAATGCAATATATAATGTAATATAATATTATAACAATGATGTAAACAAAGGGTATAAAAAATATAAAAAAAAAGAACTATGCTACATACTTGGCTCTTCACTCATATCTATCTATCTGTCTATCTATCAATCGAAAATCAATCTACAAAGATGTGTTATCTGAATACAGTCAGATCATGTATCTTCTGAATAAGACAGTATTCAATAATCGCAACTCATTCTCTAGGTAAAGCAACTACAAGTGACAAGTCATGGCGGAATCTAAAATTTGAACCAAATGTTCAAAGTGACCGCTACAAGTGTCAGTGGAAGGACGGGGGTTCAAAAATTGCCTTAGCCTGTTCAAAGTTTTCATACGAGTATAGAATGCCCAAACACTACTACTTAGCCACTTTTGTCGAGAAATTTTAACGACTTCCCAAAATATATACGGAGTGGCCGAAAAAATGAACCAATTCGAACGATTTTCAATAGCGTTCGTTGTCACTGCACCAAATTTCATCAAAATATCTCAGAAATTGCGACATACAGCTTGAACACAAATTTACAAGGTTAGACATCGGACGGACATAGGGACAGACAGACTTAAATCGATTCAGAATTATTTCGTTGTAATAGAAGTGGGGTCTATTTTAAGCCCTTTGGCGTATTGCGTACTTACTGCACAAACTTAATATAACTCGTACCGCAAATGGTGTAGGGTATAATTATAAGAAGTAAAACGTGATTACTTTAGGAAAATTATAAGAAGCAAAGCACTGTAGATTAAAAACTTCTACTTGCCAAACTCTATTACGCACAAGGGGCCTTGGGCTACTGTGACTTACAAAACGCTATAGAACTCGCAAAGCACAATCACTTCCGAAACATTGTGACCGACAAAATTCTCTGACTTGCAGGACAGTGTTGTTTGGAAAACACTCCAATAAGCAAAACACTGCACCATGCAGAAGGGCCGCAACCGGCGGAAATTATATCGAGGTTGTACTTCAGTTTATTCGAAAGTTCATCCCAGAAATAGATTCCATCGAACCATGTTTATGTATTCCTTTCAGGTCACTATTTACGTAACTTTTTTAGGGATGTCTATTTACTTCTTAAAAATTGTTAAAAGTTCATAGACCTTTTGATATATTTTGTGGAATTTGATCAACGATTTTTATTATTTTGCACATTAAATGCAATTGATTACCATTTATATGTAACAATAGTTTATAAAACTAAATATCGCACATAATTTACTACAAATTATCTTAATATTACAAGAAACGGAGTAAAAAAAAAAAAAAAAGCTGCGAAAAATAGTAAAACATATAATTGACATGCAAATGTTAACAAATTTTCTGAGCTCAAATTGCCTGACATTTGTTGATTTGGTACAACCGAACAGCAATAAATGAATCATTTTCCAAGAAGGTTCGAAGTACAACTCTACACTACCGGCAATTGTTGTGATAATAAAAAAAACAAAAAGCAGGGAAATAAAAAACAAAAGCTCAACCGACTTGCGTGACCTTTAAATAAACATTAATATCGAAGTTCTTTGTTGAATTTTATACTAACTACTCAAGATAGTCAACATGTTAATTTTGTCAATCATTACGCAACCGTTTAAAAGTGTGCGGCGAAAACGCTAGGAGCTGTGTAAGATTCCCTGCATAGGAAGCTAACGCTCATTAGAGCCAGTTCATTAGAAATGCCTTATCGTAAATACATGCTTTTATATATCTGCTTCGAAGGATGAGATAGAAAGCTGAAATATAGCATTTATATTCTTACCTAGACATGCTTTCTAGGTAAGAAGAAGTTAATGAAATTCGTCTTCAATTGAACTCCTTAATGCCCATTAGTAGTTTATATGCGATATTTGATTTCAAGATAGAACGAAAGTCACGTTACTCACGCCTTGTGTTTAATTTTGTACATCACTTATAGTTGTCATTGGTGATCGTCGGAAGTGGAAAAATTGATATAAATTTGTAAAAAAAGCTTTAATAGTCTGACTGCGACTTCTAAGAACCGGAAGATAAACTAATACCTAAACGATTTTATTCGAGCGGCCTACAAGCTGTCATAAAGTAGAAACGACCTGTTAGATCTACGAACACAACTCCTAGATGCCTAAGAAGAAATTAAAGCAAGGAAAATTTACAAGCTTCAGGTTCGGAATCTAAAACCTATAACAAATATCGATTTAAAATTTCCGATCAATGCTTGCAATATTGCTCAACGTTCAGTTCGCAACACAATCAGATGAAATAATTACGACCTTTATATGTTAGCTGAAGATAGAAGGTATCCAAGATTCGCGTTAAACAAAGTATAACATTCTCCTTGGTACTTTTCTTCTGTGGCAATGTTAAAAAAAGACATACAAAATGAAAGTTTTGACAAAGTAAATTTATGAAAAGAAATATTGAAAGTATTACGCAAGATAGATTCCATTTTAAGGCAGGATATTATTAAAACTTTTTAAACAAGTTATTGTCATTTCAAATTCAACTCTCTATAAGGAAGCAACGAAAAGAAGTTTTAAGAAAAACCAAAGAAAATGTCTGATGAAAGACGGAATTTAACAACATTGTCTTCCGTTGAACAGCATTCCAAGCAAAAGGATATCAAAACTTTAAAAGCATCGAAAAGTCAAGATTCCGCTTCGTTTGACTTAACGGAAGAAGGCTCAATACAAAATGAAAACAAAACTATAAGACCTCAAATGAGTTTTGAGGAACGTTACACATCCATAATACAAGAAAATATATTCGAAAATACTATTAATCGTGAAGCGGTGCAACGACAAATGCAAAATTTTTTCCCAGGCACTCGTACATTAAAAAAAACAGAGAAAATCAACAACGAGCCACCAATTGATGTGAAAACTGACTTTGAGTGAATGTTTAATTCATTAAAAACATTTTGGAATTGCGATAAATTCATCGATAAGCAATGCATGAGACTAAAGTGAAAATATTAATTTTAAATCCCTAAAGGCTTTATCATTATGGATTTTATTGCCTGCATTCGTTCATTTGAATATATCTTACATTTCAGTAAAGTTTTATAAAGCACTCGATGAACAACTAAAATAAAGTGATGGCTTTCTTTTCTAACCGACCACGTAACTTTGCGGAATCATTCGGTCTAACTATTATGATGCTACGAATATCGGGCTTATTTCCTTACTATTTTGAACATGCTGAAGCACGACTTCGCTGGTGTTGGAAAGGATTTGGATTCACGTTATTACACTTGACGATATATACATACGTGAATATATCTTCTTTAGCTGCCAACTGGCGGGATTATTCGCAACCGATGATTGGTCACTCATCGTTAACAGTTTTTGGTAATCTCGCCTTACGTTTAACGGGAATTTTAATGACTTTTTGCATTTTCCTTCTACTGTTTCGCAAAAATAAGGCCATAGTTAATTCTGTTAGCCTTTTCACCAAAATCTTGGATGAATTAATTCTATTGGACATCAATGTTGCTAAAGTTTTAAATCAAGTATATTATTTAAGTCTTGCTTTTACCTTTAGCTGGGCTGTTTTATTAGTTTTCACAGCTTGGCATTCTATATATTTTTATCAGTATATAACGCTTAAAAAGCCCGAAATAAAATATTATTTAGTGGTGACATTAACAAATTTCTACAAAAGTATGTTCATGTATTATATGGTAGTAGAACTATTCTCTTTGTATATGATGTCGAAGGAGTTGAATAAGTTTCTAAACGATTTACAAGAAAACTATCAACGCGATAACGAACGTGAACGAGCTCGGAAATATGCTTGGTCATCAAAATAATTTAAATTAAATTTAAATCCATTTATAATTGTAAGATAATTAACAAACGATTTAATGTAAATTAAATATTACAAAATTAATTGAATTCGTAAAATAAAAATGTTTGAAATAATTCTCTTACTATTTAGTTAGGTTTTTCTGAACGGTTACATTTCTAAGAATTATTGCAATAAAACACAAAAGAACATAAATGACAAACTGTCTCTCTCTCTCTCGCTGTCTCCCTTTCTCTCTTCATCTAAATCTCTCTACCCATCTCCATCTCTCTGGTTCTCTCTCTTTCCCCCCTCTTCTCCTCTCTCACTGTCACCCGCTCTCTCTATCGATCAACGTATAGATCTCTCTCTCTCTCTCGTACGATCTACCTATCTATCCATCTACCTATCTATCCATCTACCTATCTCTCTCGATCCCTCTCTCCCTCTCTCTCCCTCTCTCTTTTTCCCCCTCTCCACCACTCTGTCTATATCCCGCACTCTGTATCGATCTATATATAGATCTCTCTCTCTCTGTCCCCGTCTCTCTGTCCCTCTATCGAACTATCTATCGACCTATCTATCTCTCTCTCTCTATCGATCTCTGTCTCCCTCTCCCTCTCTCTCTCTCTATTCAGCCCTCTGTCTATCGCCCCCTCTCTCGTATGATCTATCTATCTATCCACCTATCTATCTCTCTCTCTCTCTATCTATCTATCTCTCTTTCCCTCTCTCCCCCTCTCTGCCTGTATCCCGCTCTCTGTATCAATCTATAACTACATCTGTCTCTCTCTATCCCTGTCTCTCCGTCCCTCTATCAAACTATCTAACGACCTATCTTCCTCTCTCTCTCCGTCTCTACCCCTCTCTCTATCGCCACCACTCCCTTTCGCCTTCTCTTTCTATCGATCTATCTATCTGCCTATCCGTCTATCTATCCATCTCTATCTCTCTCTACCTCTATCTCTCTCTTGGCACGAATCGTGGACCTAAAAGTTTTTATTAATTATGGCCAGATCAATAAGCTGATCACGACTTTTTTACTTTTAGATTTCTTTATGCCAATTTTTCAATCAACATTTTCTATGTTCTTGGTAAAAGTAACCACATATTGAATTTTCGGCTAATGTTTCCCATTTTTTAATTCTTTAACTTTTGTGGGAACATAGTTTTCTAACTGAACTAAATATATTTGCATCCAATCTTGTATTTCAACAGATGACGAAAATTGTTAAAGTGATATAAAATTATACGTTGGTCACGAATATATACAAACCATAAAGTATCTTAGTGATTTCTTATTTCTTATTGCAAATAATGAAAACTCGAAGTAAGTGTATATTCCTCTTCCTCCAGTTTTGCCTAATTGAGTGGCACTTCTATCCAATAAAAACAATTCATTATTACGATAAAAGTTATAGACTATAATTTCATAACATTTGACGGCATAAAATCATTTCTTCCTATATTGGAAATAGGGAATTTTAAAAATTGTATCAGGTGCTCGTACGACATCGTCGCGTAAACCCTTGCATTACGCTAAATTGCGATACACTAAAACAGTTATAAAGCCTCAATTTGCAGATTACATCGTGTAATTATCCCAACCATCAAACACAGTGAAACAGAGGATATTTTCACAGAGATGCCTTTCTCCTATCACAATAAGCCTTCATGTTTTTTCTCCTAATTTTCCTCAGGTACTCAACAATAGGTATAAATTATTCGAGTTACGTATCTCTTCATTTATGCGTTGCGAGAATTTCACCACAGTTAGAGGTAACCGGCCGTGCTTATCTATGCCCGCCATTTGACCGATTGGACAGCTTTTCAAAAAATTCGAACAGACCTTTACACCGTATAAGTCCCTTTCTGCTTCAAATGTCACGACTATAAACGAACAGCAGTATTCGAAATATGTGCTTGTTCGAATCGATTTGAACGGCATATCTCCTTGTGTATTTGTCAAAATAGACGTCAAAATAGACCAATTATCAACGCAAAGCTATTCAAATAGTAAATTTAAATCTGTTTTGGTAAGATACCGCGATGAAGTGAGACCGAATAAGGAAAACAACAATTCCAATTGAAAAATTGTGCATAAATGCGAGTTGTCATATTTAGCGGAGTCGGCCGTAAGGCTATGTACTGTAATTCTATGCGAAGAAATTGGCCGTTTGGTGTTTACGTAGACGCCCACTTTTTTTTTCAATAACCGAGAAGGATTCCTATGGTTCCGGCAGCTGCAATAGGGTTCCGCAAGGCTTTCTATTATTGAAGACATTAAAAGCAAATTTCGCTGACGAACGCTTCCAGTGAACATTGTTTCTATATGTTAGCACTTTTTAAAACCTTACTTCAAAATAATGAAAAGCTTATTTAATAAAAAAAGTGGTTCACTCAAAATTCCGCTTCAAACAAACTCGAAAAATGTTGTTAAGTGTGGGTAGATAGGCGCAGTTCGTTTTATTA